CTAACATATCAAAATTCAAGGTGGACAGGACAAGCCCCCGAACTCCAACCTTCTTGCAACAGGGGCTCATTGGGTTTACTCTTATGTTCTCTCTTTTGCTTCTACCATTTTTGTTTTCCTTCCAATTGTATTCTTCCATCAGCTGCCCATTTCTCTTATGCATCATTTTTTCCCTATGAACACGCATGCTGCGCTTTATTTTCCAATTCTTCATCTCTGAGTATCCCACACCCACCCTGTGATACTAGCCTTTTCAATTTGGCTAGTGAAATGACTCTTGCTAAGATGAACTTCAATGATCGAGTGATTTTATGACAAGGAGACAGAGAGATATAGAAACTAAAAATCCCATGTCATCGCACCCAACCTGACTCTTGTTTTTTTTTTTTTCTTTTTTTTTTTTTCAATTTGACAATGAATTGACACATGGAAGGAAGATTTGAGGATAGAAGATCCATATTGTGAATATTTTGAAATATGAGAACAAAAAAAATTTGAGGATAGAAGATCCATATTGTATCGCACCCTCTCCGATTCCAAATTTTTCAATTTAACACTGAAATAATTTAACAGTGAAATGACTTTTCCAAGGCCGAATGCCACCTCACCCATCTGAATTTAATTGAAGTGCAACAACATTGCCAGTCTCTTCCCCCATTGCGCATGTCCAGGTAAAGAGGCACCCACCAATATTTGTTTCCCTCTCTGTTGTACTGTATCCTTTTACATTGAATAGAAGTTTTCAATACATTACGTCGTCCTACTCCTGTAATTATCTCTCTGGTATATCATTTGGCTTTAGAATTTTTTATTTATTTTTAAACCAAAAAAAAAAAATCCATTATTGTGCAAGCATTAGGGTACAAATTGTAAATTTGAAAACATGGTCACAGAGATAACAAACCTCACTCCTCAGGTAGTCTAATTTCAGTACAAATCAAGCATACACAAGTGTCCAAGAAGGACAGAAGAAGAAGAAGAATGAGAAAAACATAAGTGATAAAACAAGAGCTTTTACAAAGTCAAATGCAAACGAGTAATGACTAGAGGCATCTCAATGCAGAAAATCAACCCTCCTGACTGGAACATATACACATTGCTGGCTAATGGCTCAGTATTTAATTAGCTAGTTTGGATATTAAAGAGCTCCCATAAAGGAACTTTTTTACTGAAAAATCTTCCCACCACCCTAGAATCCAATATTTGAATGGCTTCCTCAGATTTGATGCACCTCGGAGTCTTGTATTGATTCACAGAGGACCTTTCGAAACACAAAAATCCATCAATGAATCAAATGTCCCATGCGTCACCACCCTAATCTCCAATGCCCCTATTGAATTATCCTTTTTTCTGCACCTCCTATATACATAGTCCAATGATTCCTCCACCGTTGAGCAGCATTGCTCCATTATCGCTCGATCAAGATCATCTTCAAGTTCTTGGAGATCATCACTGTTTGTTCTCGTTTTTATGAGCTCCCAAAATAGTGCATAATGACCAGGCACTCAAGATGTGTCAGATAGCTTGTGTACTCTGTGAGAAGGTAGCCCAGTGGTTCGATGATAAGCTATGCTTGTGCCACTGCATTTAAGAGGTCTTCTTCATTGGTTTTGTCTGTATCGATGCTCAAAACCACATTTCGCCATTGCACAAACCGGAAGTGAGGGGCATTGTTGTGGAAACCAGTCACCATTAGAATGTCTCCAACTCTATATCTATATAGGCCTGCTCATGATCAACAGATGATGAATAGTTACAAGTTAGAACTGCATTGCAGAACCCTCTACCACGATCAATGAGACCCCACACACACACACACACACACACACACACACACACACAAAAAAAAAAAGAAAAAAAGCAAGGAACAAATAAATATGAATTGTAAATCACATGCTCACATAAGAACATATTAACATAAGTCTAAGATGTTACATTTTCACTATGATTGTTACAAGCAAGTATAGATATGACCAACTCCTTCAACGACATATACATATAATTAAGGTTACAAGTTCACAAGTACTAACATATCAAAATTCAAGGTGGAGGACAGGACAAGCCCCTGAACTCCAACCTTCTTGCAACAGGGGCTCAGCCTTGATTGCAAAGTTGAATTCACATCCAAGTGGAGCATTCAATACTAATCAAAATCTACACTAATTTTTGTGATTAATCGTGAAAAAAGATGACCGCGTGTGAGGTGTCCATTTGAGATGGAAAACTATATTCATATGCAAATCCCATACAAAAAGCACCACAAGAATGATGTAGTAATTTTATTTTTGTAAACAGAAGATATCTTCATAGGCGTTTTGTTTTGAAGTGAAAAGTTTACATTCTATATGAAAATTTTGTATAAATATTTTGTCTGTTTATTAGTACTTTTTTGTAATTCAGCAATGTTACACATCACGAAAAAAAAGTTTCACAGAAATCATCTCGAAGCCATGGCCAGTCATTTTTGTGAGGTATACTTACTGTTCGTGATTTAGGAGAAAACTTACCCGTGAAAGATGTAACAACTAGTTCATAATGGTGACCAAGCTTCACATCCACAAGACCAACAGCTTCACTTTCCACCCTCTTATCCTCCTCCTTTTCTATGCAATTTAGCTCAGCTGAAACAGCACCACTGCAAGAATAATATTGGAGCTCATGATCAGTGGGCAGAGTACTCACTCCTGGCTGATTTTTCTCCATTAAAGAGATAGGAAGGAACTCAAAGTAGGCCATAATTGAGAGGAGAGTGTAAGATACATCACAAGGCTTGCACAATGGTTCAAGATTGATCCCTAAATAACATTCCAAAGAAGCATACATTGTTGAAACCAATGGAATCCCCCCACCGCTGTAGAATTCCAGGGTCGGTATATACTGCGCCATCGACCCTGTAACTATTACTTCGATATACTTGATTCTAGTACAAATTTTCTTGATTATCCCTTCCCATGACTTCCCTCTACACTCCGCTTCAATTGAACAAGCTAACTCTGAATTGGGTTCGCCCAGGACTAACGACACTGCGTTTCTACAACCCGGGTCAGTGATCCAATTACTGACCCGACCTCTTCTTATGTTATGACACATTTCTCTCCAGTGATCCTCTAGGAATTTGATTGCTCTTAGGAATGCGGATGCAAAAATTGCACGGACTCTCAGAACCTCGTGTCGTTGAACTAGACCGCACACTAATTGGCAGTACGTGCTCTGCTTCTTGTTGGAGCACAATATGGTTTGGTCGGGCTTGTGTAGATGTTGAATTTGTTGAAGGGACGGTTTCTGAAGTTACTACTTTTGTAGTAGCTGGTTAGGACCGGCCTTGCCATCAGACCAGCTGGAGTTGTTATTTCAGGTTTGATGAACAAAAGGTACATTCCTTTTCCTTTGTCCAATCCATCCACATACCTATAAGTCATTCAGCTGTTTTAATTAGCAATCTTGCTTTTGCATGTAGCAGCCGTTCATTCATCTAAAAAGAATTTGTACTACAGTATCACCAAGGAATATAGAGGGGCGAAAATGGTACATATATTATATATATATATATATTTACATATATAGAAGGTTATTCTCACTTGTTCATCATAGGTACAAGGATGTTATAAAAGAAAGTCTTTCTGTCCAACTCTTCAGTAGTTGAAGGCATCATTTTTGGCTGCCCTGCTGAAGTTCCTGAGCTGCATGAAAACCGATAATCAATGAACTTCAACTTACAAAATTAAAACTATCAAGGAAAAAATATATATAGACCTTGCTTGTTTCCACTTTTCAAAAAACACTTTTCAGAAAATTCTACTATCTTATTTTTCGTGTTTTTTTATTTTTACTGAATTTTTAAAAATATTTTAAGCAATTTTTTTTACTTTTTAGACACATCTAACATAAATACACCTAAAAAGTAAAAAAATTGTCAAAATAATCTTTTAAAATTTCACTAAATATCAAAAATACAAAAAAAATACAAGAATTCAGTACATTTTTTATATTTTTATGTATTTAGTAATTTTTTAAAATATTTTTTCACAAATTTTTTACTTTTTAGATACATCTAAGTAAGGTGCATCTAAAAAAGTAAAAAAAATGTTTAAAATTTAAAAAATATTCACTAAAAACAAAAAAACACAAAAACCAAAAAAATCAGTTTTCAAAAGAGAGAAATTTCTTTATATTTTATAGGTACCTAGTGAGGAGCTCAGTGATGTTGGGCGGATATGATCTGTGAGGGTTCTCCATTGGCAATTCGCTCGATGTATGGCTTGATATCTTCGTAATTGACAATGGGAACTTTCTTCTTGAAATGTTCCTTATCAGATTGGCTATTGAGAAAGCCACCCAGATGCTCGGTTTGTGTATTTGATCCAATACCTGTTGTTGTATTTGACTGGCATTTGTGGTCAGGTCCTCCAAGAGCTTCATATCAGCTTCATTGTCAGTTGGATCACAGCTTAGCAACATCCTTTGCTAAATTATACAATACTACAAGTTCAGGCAACTTTTGAACCCAATCTTTATCTAGTTATGAGTAACACAATGTAACCATGCAAGAAGATTTAACATATAATCACAATAATTACACAAATATATACAACTCTTGAGAGGTTTCACAATAATCATCAAGGATGCTCTCATGGTGCCCTTAGCAATACAATCTGACAATCCATTAAATAATGAATAAAACAACTCTGTCTAACATACCCTGGCCTCAATAATTTCCTATCAAAATGAAGGCCACCAAAATTTCTAGTCAAACTTCCAGCATGACAAAATAGTAGAAAACAATAACACTGCCCATTGATATACTTGTCACTCAATCCAAGCCTAATGTGTTCCAACATAGATAGGTCCTTTCTACATATACCTTGGAGCTAGCAACATCAGATTCCCAACCACTCAAAAGAAAAATCCAAAAGAAAAAGATCACCGCATAGCCCAAAAATGAAAGAAAAGAAAATAAAAACCACCAAACCAATACTGCATCATAAACACAAGGCTTTTCGAACCATAGAAGGGACAATAGGGATCAAATTGCAGACATTAGAATGTTCTAAAAGCAATACTGACTAGAAATTAACCCTTCAAAGTGAACATTCCTAATTCAACACGTACAAATTATAACAAAATATAATTTCAGGAAAATTAAGAAAGAAATCATCTAAAATGAAATCCTTTAACTAATGTCTAATACAATTACGAAGATCCTTCTAGTTGATAGAAGCTAATAGCATGGCAGGAATATCAGAAAAGATATAATCACATCTTCAACACTACATTCAGCACTTTGCAATTCTTATTACCACATTATAGAAGCTTGTGTTCCAATGCAAACTCAGTTCCTTGTCTGTAGCAGCAACCAAATTCTTCACTTCAATTCTGATCTCCTAACCATAATACAGCACAGTTCAATGCTGCTTCAAATTCAATGAGCAAACACTGTGTCATTCCGCCTAGGTGGTCGGTCAGGAATACTTCCCGGTTTGAATTTTGAAGCCTCGTGTCTAGCCAATTCAGGGGGCACGGGACTGTTACTCTGAATAAGCATCTGCTTGAGATCGTAGAAGACATCAGTATCATGTAAAGTCAAGAATGTTGTTGCAACACCTGTCTTTCCTGCACGACCTGTTCGTCCAATACGATGGGTGTACATTTCAATATTCCCAGGCATATCATAATTGATTACATGGGCCACATCCGGAATATCAATCCCACGTCCTGCTACATCCGTTGCAACCAATACATTGTATCTCTTGGCCCTGAAACCTTCAAGACTAATTTCTCTCTGCTCCTGAGACTTGCCACCATGTAAAGTTGTCACGCGATAGCCAGACTTATCCAAAGATTTGGAAAGGTTATCAGCAGACTTCTTAGTGTTAATAAACACAATAGCTGTCTTATCTCCAAGTTCATCCAACAATTTCTGCAACCTATACAATTTCTCCGACTCCTTCATCATGATCACATGTTGGGTGATTAGGTCAGTTGTCTTTCCTGCAGTACCAATGGTGACAACCACTGGATTTCTGAGGTACTTTCTAGCAAGTCGCTCCACAGCCGGTGGCATTGTAGCGCTGAACATGTAAGTTGTCCGGTAAATCTTTTTGTCATCGAGCTCCTCATCTTCGTTCTCGGGTTTTAAATTGCTTGAAGGCATTGCATCCAAGACACCCACAACTTGCGGCTCAAAACCCATATCTATCATACGATCAGCCTCATCAAGGACAACATAATTGCACTGATTCAAAACAGCATAACGCCTCTCCAAGCAATCAATAAGACGGCCAGGCGTGGCGATGACTACCTCGCACCCTTGCCTAATCTTGAAACCTTGCTCTTCAATTGACTGGCCGCCAACAATAGAAACAACCTTGATGCCCAAATAATGAGCAAACTTGACAGTCTCGTCCTCAATCTGTTGTGCAAGTTCTCGAGTAGGGGCCATGACAACTGCATAAGGCCCCTCAGCGTCGTTGTCTTCGCTCATTGGAGGTAGCCTAGATATGTAAGTCAACATGGGAAGAACAAATGCAGCAGTCTTACCAGAACCAGTCTCCGCAATACCAATGACATCACGCTGCTGGAGACCGAGTGGAATGGCAGCCATCTGAATTGGGGAGGGGGTCTTGTAGCCTGCCCTCTCGACGGCCCTGAGCAGCTCCTGAGTCAACCTGCTCTCGACCCAGCTCCTCATAGGGCGAGGAATCTTGGATCCCTTATAGGAAATGTTGAAATCTTCACGGAAGATCCTCCAATCCCTCTCGGTCATCTCTTCGAGCTTCTTGTCGGACCAATGGCGATCGACCCTCATGTCAAAAGTGTCGTACAAATCAGCGGCCTCTTCCTTGAGTTTCTGGGCGGCGGCCTCTTCAGGTTTCTCCTCAATACCGTCCTTCTTGCGAATCTCGTCTCTGATTTCCTTCTCGTTCTTGGCAGCGAGCTTCTTCTGCTCGCGGCGATCCATGCCAGCGCGAAAGCCACGGCCGAAGAGGAGGCGAGCCTCGTGAGGGTTTTGGTAGAGGATATTCATGTCGCGGGAGGTGTCCTCGGTGTTTTCCCAGTCGAAGGAGAAGCGGAACTTCTCGCTGGGCTTAATGACGCGTTTCTTAGGTTTTTTGGATCCCAAGTACTGCTCTTTGATGGATTCAAGCTCTTTCTCTCGCTCTCGCTCCGCTAGCTTCTCCAATCGAGCACGCTCCCGAGCCTTTTGTTCCTCCTCGCGCTCCCGCTCGCGGTTCCGCCGCTCCGAATCTCGGTCTCGGTCGCGCTCATAATCGCGATCGCGGGAGGAGCGGTGGTGGTGGTGGTCGTGGCGACGGCTGTTGTCATGGGATGGATCGGAGTGGGGTTTGGAATCGGAGGTGGAAGGCCGATGGTTATGGAGAAGGAGGGGTTCGGATTGGCGTTTGTGGTCAGCGATTTCTTCCTCGCGACGCTTCAGTGCTAACTGCTCTCTCTGGGCTTTGGTGAGGAATACCGGCTTCTTGATGTCGTCGCCAGTGGCTGTGCCGCCTCCGCCGACGTCGCTCTGTGCTCGTTTCATGCGAGAGAGATTTTTTTGGGGGAGGGGGGGGGTTTCGGAAGATCGCTTTTGTTTTTTAGGAAGAATTCTCCAATCCAAAATACAACACGATAATCTCCCAATTTGAGGATAACCACTGTAGTCTGTCGATTTTTATTTGGGAAATCACAATCTAGTGTAATTATTTATAAAATAAAATAAAATAAAAAGAAAAACAATTTAATGATATGTTCGGGCGAAAAATTTAATTTTGAATTTTGTTTAATAAGAGGTTGAGGGGTTAAATTAGCTTGTCCATAAGGATAATTTCAAGGTAAATGATCAAAATATCCTCTCTATGTATATTATATACATTGCCAATACAATCAAAACTAGTCCCTTCATCTCTCTCTCTCTTTGCCTCAAACTAGTCTCTTCATCTCTCTCTCTTGGCCTCTTCCTCTGTTGTCTCCTCCGGTGAACTTTTACTCCCTCGAGTTCATAGCCGCCTCCGATGCCGTCGGCATCTCTATATCCTTCCATTGTTATGATTATTTAATATGATATTGTTTAAAATGAATATTATACATACATCATAATGAAGGAAACCCATGGTAAACAGGGTGTACAACCCACTACAATAGAAGGTTGAAAATCTTGATTCCTGAAATAAAATATAAGCATGTGTTTAGTTGTGTTTTGTATATGTGATTGGAGAGTATGAGTTGTATTTTGAATTTGTGTGTTGCAGAATTATGATTTGAGTGTAAAAAATTTGTTTGGTAAAGAGTTTTGAAAATAGTTTTGGAAAAGAGATTTGATTTGAGTGGGGAATTGTTGATATGATATTTGATATGTGATACAAAAATTTATAACTCATAACTAAACATACAACTCAAAATTATTTTAAAGCACATTAAAAATTAAAAAAAAAATCAGAAAATATTTTTTCCAATTATATAAATCAACTGCAAAAAAAAAAAAAATTGTACAGTGAAGGACATCCGGGCGGTCTTTCCCTGGGCAAAATTTTCATAAAAGCAGCGACTGATGCACAGAGCTCTCTGCAGAGCTCGTGAAAATTAATTCCAAAACAACAACCAAACATCATACTCAAACGCACGTGTAGAAACACGTTTACAAATCACAACCAAGCAGAGCCTAAATTTTTTATTAATCTCTTCCTTCCTTCCTTCTTTCATACTATCAAGAAGGAGAAGAAAAAAAATAAGAAAATGAGAATGATTCAAAACTGGTAACATAACCGTGAGGCATTTACGGCCCCCAGCCCAAACGAAATTAGATACTCCTTTTGAGTTGAGATCCTTTCCTTGGTCTCTCTCATTGCAACGGTAAAGATATAACCCAAGATAATCCAACGGTCTATATTTGGCTAATTCAAAAAAAAAATTAAAACAAATTGAAATAGCCATCTGAACTGCTGAATCATCTTGGAGTACATCTTTACCATTGCAAGTAGGAAAGTAAAGAGAGAGAGAGTAAGGAGAGGATCTCAACTCACTATTTTTATTTTCAAATCAAGCAACACTAAAACAAAATAATAATAATAATAAAATCCAAAAGAATTGGGAAAATCAAAAGAAAGGGATAGAGTAAGGAATATTGAAAATGGGGAAATTGGCTGGTTGTAGGTATAGGTAAACAAGGATGGGCCATTTCCCAATATAAGTCATTTTTGTATTGTATTTCCAAAACTAGGCCAACTTCTGACGGAATTCCAAAACTAAGCTAAAGCGCCATTACTATTCGCGCTTTTACTGTTAGGAGGCCAAAAGTTGATGAATAGTGAAATCGCTATTTGAAATCGCGATTTTAATTAAGAAAACGCTGTTCCAAATCGCGCTTTTAACATAAAAAAAATTTCTGAAGAAAACGCTATTTAAAATAGCGCTTTTACTGTGCATATAATATTTTTTTTTTTTTTTTTTAAAAACGCCATTTGAAATGGCGTTTCTACTGTTGAATCACCAACCAAAGCCAACCCACACACTGACACACACACACATGGGCACACCCACAACACTCAAGCATTGAAATAATATAATTTTTATATATAATAATAATTTATAATAATTAATTATATAATTTTTATAATTTTCGTAAATATAAATCATTTTTAGGTTATGAATGGTTTGATTTATAATACATATCTAACGGTCAAAAATTTTATAATAAAAAATAATCGATTATAAATTTTATACGTATGTAAGGGTAAAAAATTTTAGGTTATGAATGGTTTGATTTATCATTTAAGTCATTTATAAAAAAATTTACCCTTAAACCATACGTATGTAAATGTGAAGATGGGTTTACTGTAAATGTAAATGTGAAGATACGTATTAAATTATTTACATACGTATTAATTATAAATTTTTATAAATTAATTTTGAATAATACATACGTATTATAAAATGTGAAGATGGGTTTACTGTGAAAAATTTTAAATAAAAAATGTAAAGATTCAAATAATACATACGTATTATAAAATGTGAAAA